ATCAACACAGCTTCTCACAACAGTAATGCTCATAACATATTAATAAGTGAAACAAGAAAGTATGTAAGTTATGACCCATTTTTTGAAGAAAGAAAATGTTCTTAAATTATTTAAATTATTAAATAAAGCCACACAATTACAAAGTTGACTTACGCAATTAGGTGTCTCTCTTTTTGAAAAAAACTCCAGGTTCCTTAAAGAGCAGATGAGTTGGGAAGCTTTAGGAAACAAAGCACAAATCCTCAAAGCAGTCTACTTAGTCTTGCCTTACATCAATTACTCTTTCTTGTTAACCTCTCACCCTTAAATGGTGCTGCTGGGAGGTGGCGGCACGTGTGTGGTGGGCTCGGGGTGAGGGCAGAGTGATAAAATGTAAATTACATAGAAGAGGGCTGCAGCTTTAACAAGTGTTTATGTTTATTCAGAGCCTTCCTCTGAGATGCTCAGTGTTGTATACATGTGTTCTCCGTAATCCTCTGGAACCAGCAGGTGGCAACTCTGGCTCTTGACAGATTTTTATTTATTTATTTTTTGAGACAGAATCTTGCTCTGTCACCCAGACTGGAGTGCAGTAGCGCGATCTCTGCTCACTGCAAGTTCCGCCTCCTGGGTTCACGCCATTCTCTTGCCTCAGTCTGCTGAGTAGCTGGGACTACAGACGCCCACCACCACGCCCGGCTAATTTTTTGCATTTTTAGTAGAGATGGGGTTTCACCTTGTTAGCCAGGATGGTCTCCGTCTCCTGACCTCGTGATCCGCCTGCCTCCGCCTCCCACACCGTGCCCTATCCCCTCTTAATGACAATATTAAAACTGACTACAATTAGTGGTATTCACTGATTTGCAAGTACTATCATGCTTAAATCCACTTTAAAACGAAACCCTCTTAGATTGCTCTGGTGTTAGGAAAAATTATCCAAAACTTAGTAAAAAGCCGAAAGAATGACTGTCTTTTTAAGGCCATACTTAAGCATTGTCAGCAAGCCTATCTAAAGATTATTTCATTCTCCAGGGATAGAAGGTTGTACTATTATTTTACTTTGCTTGGTAGTATTAATTAAAGACTCAGACTCTATGCAGGTAAGTATTAACTTGTAGATCTGTGTCCAGTGGAAATACAAATTATTTCTCTCAGGTAGATAACCCCCAACATTAGGCTTCCATCTCTTGGAAACACAACTAGCTACTTGTATATCTGATCAAGTAATGTTATTCTGAATTCTTCTAAGTTTTCTTTATTGTTTCATTTTTTCTTTTTCTTTTTTTTTTTTTTTTAAGAGACAAGTCCTCACTGTCACGCGGGTTGGAATGCAGTGGTGTGATCATAGCTCACTGCAGTCTCAAGTAATCAAACCTCCTGTAATCAAGCCTCTTGGCCTCAGGTAATCCTCCCATTCTGTCTCCCCCAAGTGTTGGGATTACAGGCATGAGCAGCTGTGCCCAGCCTCCTGTTTTTTTTTCAAGACAGGGTCACTCTGTCACCTAGGCTGGAGTGCAGTGGCACAATCTCAGCTCACTGCAACCTCCACTCCCCGGGCTCAAATGATCCTCTCACCTCAGCCTCCCAAGTAACTGGAACTACAGGTACACACTATAAAACCTGGCTAATTTTTGTGTTTTTTTTTCATAGGGACAGGATCTAGCCATGTTGCCTAGGTTGGTCTCAAATTCCTGGGTTCCTCAGATGTTCTTAAAACCAGCTTTAAATTCTTACTGGATGCCTCATTAATTAGCACAGGTGCTGGGAAGCACTTTGGAGTTGTTTCTCCCAACTGACAAATAAAATTTAGTATGTACTCATCCTATAGTTGTATGAGAGTCATGCTTTAACTTGTTGAAAATGATGCTTTATCGGTAGCGTAAGTCAGCCCATCTGGTTTATGCCATGGATTTGCTTTAACAACTTATTTCTTTTTAGATGAGATGAAGGCTCAAGTTTCTTAGCATGGCATTGAGGGTTCTTCACATTCTGGTCTCAGCTGACATCTCCTCTTTTTTCTTTTCTTTTTTTGAGACAGGTTCTCCCTCTGTCACTCAGGCTGGAGTGCGGTGGTGTGATCTTGGCTCACTGCAAACTCTGCCTTCTGGGTTCAAGTGATTCTCCTGCCTCAGCCTCCTGAGTAGCTGGGATTACAGGCATGGACCACCATAGCCTAATTTTTGTATTTTTATTTGTTAGGGATGGAGTTTTACCATATTGGTCAGGCTTGTCTTGAACCCCTGACCTCAGGTGATCTGCTTGCCTTGGCCTCCCAAAGTGCTGAGATTACAGGCGTAAACTACCACACCCAGCTGACATCTCCTTTTCTGTGAAGTCTTCCCCAACCTTCCTCTTTCATCATCTACAGCATCACCTCCTCAGGCAGAGTCAGGTATTTCGGCATCCTTTGCACCCAGCATCCCAAACATATGTTTGTTGATAAATTGAACTATTTTCCTACTCTTCTGGTTGGCATGTGACCTGGAGGTTAATTTGAATAATACATTCCATGTGCTGATCACAGTGATTGCTTCCTGGGGGGGTCCTATGAGCCACCCTGGCTCCATGAGCACTCTTCTCAGGATGTTTATTACAATGGTGGGACCGAAGTACTCTTTCTTTCCTTCTGATGTGGACAAAGCCTGTCGCCTGGAATCTGGTGGCAGCAGTCTTCCGCTGGTGAGAGGAGCCACCCTCAGGATGAAGCCAGCACTGGGAAAGCAGCTCTGAGAACTGTGGAGAAATTCTGGCCTTGGTCATGTGGTTGTGTTTCTGGAGCAGGCCTTAAGATACTCTGGCTTCTAGACTTTTCAAGTCTGGGAGCTAGTAGATCCCTTGAATCCTGTAAGCCTGTTTGAATTAGATTTTCTATTATCTTTGGCCAGATGCATCCTAGCTGATATAGATACCTATGTTACACACAGGTGTCTCCATCAATGCTTCTGGAGTAGTTTTGTGTCTGCCTAACTTCTGCACATACAAAAACATCTTTGCGATCCCAGAAACTTGCTCAGTTTCTAGCTCAGTTTCTAGCTGAGTTTCTAACTCAATAAATGTTGCCTGAGTTTGTTTTAGGAAAACACTTCTTTTGCACTATACTCTTGTTATTTTTACAAGTATTGAAATAAAAAGCTACTTTCCTCACCTTCTGCAGATCCCAGTGTCTCCCAAACTCCAAGGCTTGATTACGTTTTCTGACATCTGTGTCATCTCACCTGGAGCCACATGAATCTCTCCGTATCCCTACCCTACTGCTTTAGCCCCTACCCACTTCCTGTGGAAATTCTCCATGAGGCTATGCCTGGGCAGTTAGCCAGGCTGGTAAGTGTGGGTTTAACAGAGAACTGCATAAACACACCCACATCCTACATAAACAAGATGCACCTCATTGCTTGCAACTTTGGATTTTAAAAATGATTACAGAAACATGGATGTCAATGTGGAGATCTTTCCTTTTTCTTTTTTCCTTTTTGGTTTGTTTGTTTGTTTGTTTGCTTTGAGACGGAGTCTCACTCTGTTGCCCAGGCTGAGGTGCAATGGTGTGGTCTTGGCTCACTGCAACCTTTGCCTCCCGGATTCAAGCAATTCTCCTGCCTCAGCCTCCCGAGTAGCTGGGATTACAGACACCTGCCATCATGCCTGGCTAATTTTTGTATTTTTAGGAGAGACGGGGTTTCACCATGTTGGCCAGGTTTGTCTCGAACTGCTGACCTTGTGATCCGCCTGCCTCGGCCTCACCCAAAAGTGCTGAAATTACACGTGTGAGCCACTGTGCCTGGCCTACATGGAGATCTTTTCTGAAGTGTATGGACTTCATTCTGAGCCAACTCACCTCTGGATCAGGCTGGGAATCATGTGGGAAAGAGATTCTGCTAGCAGATTCAGAGGGCCTGAGAACGAATCCCTTCTCAGCAACCAGGCACAGGTGCTGGGAAGCACTTTGGAGTTGTTTCTCCCAACTGACATTCACAACATCTCCATCTGGGAAGTGCACCTGTCCTGCCCTTTTGACAATCATGCCAATTTTATCATACTCCTATTGGGGGAACCAGCCACCAATATTTCAATGTAGGTTCTTTTCTATTTTTCCTAAGTGTCAGCTGGTCTGAGAAATAAAGGCAAAGAGTACAAAAGAGATAAATTTTAAAGCTGGGTGTTCGGGGGTGACTTCACATGTCGGCAGGTTCCATAATGCCCCCGAGCCACAAAACCAGCAGGTTTTTATTACGGATTTCAAAAGGGGAGGGGTGTATGAATAGGGTGTGGGTCACAGAGGTCACATGCTTCAAGGGCAATAAAATATCACAAGGCAAATGAGGGCATAGGGAGATCACAGGATCAGGGCAAAATCAGAATTGCTAATGAAGTTTCAAGTCCCATTGGGCACACATTATCATTGATAACATCTTATCAGGAGACAGGGTTTGAGAGCAGATAACCAGTCTCACTAAAATTTACTAGGCAGCAATTTCCTAATCCTAATAAGCCTGGGGGCACTATAGGAAACCCGGGCTTATTTCATCCCTTATCTGCAGCCACATAAGACAGACACTCCCAGAGCAGCCATTTTGGAGACCTAACCCTGGGAATGCATTCTCTTTCTCAGGGCTGTTCCTTGCTGAGAAAAAGAATTCGGGGATATTTCTCCTGTTTGCTTTTGCAAGAAGAGAAATAGGACTCTGTTCTGTCCAGCCCCGCAGGCAGTCAGCCCCAGTGGTTATCTCCCTTGTTCACTGAAAATCACAGCCATCCTGTTTCTTTTGGATGCCCAGATTTCATATTGTTCAAACACAGATGCTCTATAGACAAACAATTTGTGCAGATAACGCAATCATCACAGGATCCTGAGGCAACATACATCCTCAGCTTACAAATATGATGGGATTAAAAGACTAAAGACAGGCATAGGAAATTATAAGAGTATTGATTGGGGAAGTGATAAATGTCCATGAAATCTTCACAATTTATGTTCAGAGACTGCAGTAAAGACAGGCATAAGAAATTATAAAAGTATTAATTTGAGGAACTAATAAATGTCCATGAAATCTTCACAATTTATGTTCTTCTGCCATGGCTTCAGCCGGTCCCTCCATTTGGGGTCCCTGACTTCCCGCAACATACTCCCTGTATGTCTCTTGTGCAAAGAATGAGAACTCAAAACATCTGTGGGAAGAAGGCATCAGAAGAACGATTTTGTGCTTGATACATTTGCATACATTGGCAATAGCAAGAAAAAAGGTCCCTATTTGGAACTAATTCAAGTAGATAGGACCAAGATAGATTTTAATCAACACTGAATTCAGTGAGTTCTTAAGACACCAAAGGAGGAAGTGTGTCTGCTTCAATTGCAAAATGAAACTGGTATTGATTCTAAAAACATTGAATGACAGTAAAGTGGGCCATGCCAGTCTCATATTTCAGATGCGATTTACTGTTGTGTATCTTTCCAGAGCCCATCTCATCTGGGACAAAATATTGCTAATAATTTATGTATGATTTATCACCACCTACCCCATGTTAAAAGAGTGAACTAGCCAGTATTAACCTGGTTTTTACACCAAAGGCCAGAAACCTCCTTCCTTCCTATCGCCAGGGGTAACTTAGGGGTGTGGTGTTATCATTTGAACATAAAAGACCTTCAATCCCTGTATTTCTTTCTCTTCCCCTTGGTTCATGAAACACACAGAGGTAAAAATAGCAAGTAGGTGTGGGAGGCAGACACCCACATAAAGAAGCAGAATTTATGATTTGTGTCTTACAGATTTATTAGCAGGTTTGCTAACACTTCTTTCATTGAGTTGGTGCTTGAAACTCTCATAAGCATGTAATTTTCAACCCACAGTGTTGCCAGGTGAGGCATGGTTGTGGGGATACAGCAGTTGGACACTCACAAGTTATTTTTAACAATAATGACCTGTTCCAAGGGCCACTGCGGTCTTTAATTTTGAAGGATGAGCTTGAAATATTTCACGTCTTTGTGGCATATGACCATACCACATTTCAATGAATGTTATTTATTATTTATTTGAGATGGAGTCTCTCTCTGTCATTCAGGCTGGAGTGCAGTGGCACGATCTCAGCTCATTGCAACCTCTGCCTCCTGGGTTCAAGTGTTTCTTCCACCTCAGCCTCACGAGTAGCTGGGACTGCAGGTGCGTGCCACGAGGCCCAGCTAATTCAATGAATGTTGTCTGTCCCAAATTGAAAATGTTTAAAGGAGGCAAGATTCATACTTTTATATAACAGAAGGGCAGCTGTTATCTCCACATTGCCTAAGATGTTATGATTTTAATTTCTGCAATGTAGTGATCACATCCGCATTGGACTATCTCAGTGTGGGTCATAGAACACAAGTTTGTAATGCTTAATGACATCTGTGAGAACTGCTCAGTGAAAATGGAATTCGTGAGCTGAGAAGCCCACATCTCTGTTCATTTACATGAATGTATTAACCAGTTAACAAATAAATACTCAATATTTATTCCATGTAATGGTGACAAACATGACGGAATCAAAAAGTATAAGACACAGTGCTGTTTTGAATTTAATTGAAGATAAAAATTACATCATAAAAACCCCATATTCATCCTTCAAGAATCAGCTCAAGCCTCCCACCTGGCTCTCCTTCAGTGATCCTTCCTGGGAAGAGTCAGACACTCCTTTTTCTGGACTTTTCACCACTTTCACTCTAACCTGTAATGATTTCTACAGGCACCGTCTACACAGTTGCCTAGTACAGTGCAACATGGTAGGTGCTTGACAAAATGTAAGTTAAATAAACAATGAACAAAGGAGTCAGTGCACCAGAAGAACCCAAGAACATTCTGGATTGTAATATGCATAAAACAAGTGAGGCAGAATGAGTGCTCACCCCAAGCTGGAGTGGTCAGTGGAGGCATGTGAAATAGACCAGACCTTCTTGGCTGGGATGCTCAGCTGTAGGGAATTATGCATATGACCCCATCCTCCGGGCAGTTTCTTGAGAAGGGGTACTGGTTGTGGGGATACAGATTTAAGGGAGATAAATTGAAATCTTGCATTTTTTTTTTTTTTTTTTTTTTTTTCTGAGACAGGGTCTTGCTGTGGCACCCAGGCTGGAGTGCAGTGGTGTGATCTTGGCTCACTGCAACCTCCACCTCCTGGGCTCAAGAAATCCTCCCACCTCAGCTTCCCAAGTAGCTGAGACAACAGGAGTGCACTACCATGCCCGGCTAATTTTTTCTGTTTTTATAGAGACAGGGTCTCACCACATTGCCCAGGCTGGTCATGAACTCCTGAGCTTAAGCGATCCACCTGCCTCAGTCTCCCAAAGTGCTGGGATTATAGGCATATCCACCATCCTGGCTTCTTTTTTTTTTTTTTTAACAACTTATGAAGACATTACCACAATCGAGATAATAAACATATCCATCGTCCCCTAAAAGCCCTCCTTTCTCATAGTAATCCTGCTCTTCTTCCTCCCTGTGCCTCTCCCTACCCCCAAGTAACCACTGCTGTCTGATGCTATCAATTGTATTTTCTAGAATTTTATGTAATGAAATCATAGAGTACACACGTGACATAACTATTTGAGTTGCATCCATGTTGTGTTATATCAGTAGCTATGCCTTTCCATGGCTGAGTGGTATTCTATGGTGTATATATACCACAATTTCCTTACCTATTTACCTATTAACTGACAACGGGGCTGTGTGATGGTTAATTTTATGTGTCAACTCGACTGGACTCAAGGATGTCCAGATAGCTGGTAAAACAGTGTTTCTGGGTATATCTTTGAGGTTGTTTTCAGAAGAGATCAGCATTTGAATCAGTAGACTGAGTAAAGAAAGTCACCCTCACCAATGTGGGCAGGCACCATCCAATCCACTGAGGGCCCGAATAGAACAAAAAGGTGGAGGAAGCGCAGTTTGACCTCTCTATTTACTCTGGGACGTCCATCTTTTCCTGTGCTCAGAGAGTTTTCCTGGTTCTCAGGCTTTCAGACTCAGCCCAAATTACACTACTGGCTTTCTTGCATTTTCAGTTTGCAGGCAGCAGACTGTGGGTCTTCTTGGCCTCCGTAATCTCAGGAGCCAATTCCCACAATAAATTACACATATACATATTTGCCAAGGTTCTCCAGAAAGGTAGAACCAATAAGATGTCTGTCTGTCTGTCTGTCTGTCTCTATCTATCTACCTACCTACCTATCTATTTATATTGATCAGACATGTATGAGACATACAAGAAATACACACACACAGACACACATATGTGTATCTTACTGGCTCTATTTCTCTTAGAGAATCTTGACTAACACAGGTTGTTTCCAGTTTTCAGTCATTACAAATTCACGTATAACTCTTTTTATGTACAATGCTTTCACTTCTTTTCAGTAAATCTCAAGAAATTTAGGTCTATGATCCCTAGAAGTTAAATGGCTGGGTCCTACGTTAGGTATTTGTGTAACTCATTAAGAAACTGCCAAACTATTTTCTAAAGTGGTTGTGCCCTTTTAATTCTCATGAGTAGGGCTGGAGAGTTGCAGTTGTTCCATACCCTCACCAGCATTGGGTATAGTCAGTCCTTTTAATTTTAGTCATTTTAATGGTATGTACTGGTATCTTACTGTGGTTTTAATTTGCATATTCCTAATGAGTAATAACATTGAACATCTTTTCACAGCTTTTTTTGCCATCTAAATATTTTCATTGGTCTGGTCAATGCTTTTGTGACTTTTAAAAAAACATTGAACATCTTTTCACAGCTTTTTTTGCCATCTAAATATTTTCATTGGTCTGTCAATGCTTTTGTGACTTTTAAAAAATTAAGTTGTTTATATTCTTATCATTGGGTTTTGAGAGAGTTCTTTTTATAATCTGAGTAAGTCCTGTATCTGATATGTAATTTGCAAATATTTTCTCCGGCTGTGCCCTGTCTTTTTCATTCTCTTTAACATGTTTGAAGAGCAGAAGTTTTTAATTTGATGAAGTCTAACTTAACAATTTTTTTTTTTTTTTTTTTTTTTTTTTTTTTGAGACAGAGTCTCACTCTGTCGCCCAGGCTGGAATGCAGTGGCACGATCTTGGCTCACTGCAACCTCCACCTCCCAGGTACAAGCGATTCTCTTTCTCAGCTCCCAAGTAGCTGGACTACGGTGCATGTGCCACTACATCCAGCTAATTTTTGTATTTTTAGTAGATGGGGTTTCACCATGTTAGCCAGATAGGCCCCGATCTCCTGACCTCGTGATCTGCCAGCCTCAGCCTCCCAAAATGCTGGGATAACAGGCACAAGCCACCATGCCTGGCCAACTTAACAATTTTTAAAAGTAAATTGTGCTTTTGTTATTCTAAAAAAGTTTTGACTAACTCAAAGTTTCAAAGATTTTCTTCTATGTATTCTCCTAGAAGATTTATAGTTTTAGGATTTACATTTATGGCTATGATCCATTTTGAGTTGCTATTTACATATTGTGTGAGATCTGGATTAAACTTTTTTTTTTTTTTGAGACGGAATCTCGCTCTGTCACCCAGGCTGGAGTGCAGTGGCCGGATCTCAGCTCACTGCAAGCTCCACCTCCCAGGTTTACGCCAGTCTCCTGCCTCAGCCTCTCGAGTAGTTGGGACTACAGGCACCTGCCACCTCGCCTGGCTAGTTTTTTGTATTTTTTTTTTTAGTAGAGACGGGGTTTCACCATGTTAGCCAGGATGGTCTCGATCTCCTGACCTTGTGATCTGCCCGTCTCGGCCTCCCAAAGTGCTGGGATTACAGGCTTGAGCCAGTGCACCCGGCCCCTGGATTAAATTTTTTTAATATATGCATATCCAATTGTTCTAGCACTATTTGTTGAAAAGGTAACCCTTGCTTATGCAATCACTTTTATTCTTTTGTTGAAAGCCCACTGGCCATATATATCTCAGTCTGCTTCTGCCTTCTCTTTTCTCTCATTAATCTATTTATCTTTTTGCTAATAAGACACTGTCTTCATTACTATAGCTTTATGAAGTTAAGTAATATGAGTTCTTTACTTCGTCTTTGTTTTTGTTTTTCTTTTTCTTTTTTTGGAGATGGAGTCTCACTCTGTCACCCAGGCTGGAGTGCGGTGGTGCAATCTTGGCTCACTACAACCTCCGTCTCCTGGGTTCAGCCTCCTGAGTAGCCAGGATTACAGGCATGCACCACCACGCCCAGCTAATTTTTGTATTTTTAGTAGAGATGCGGTTTCACCATGTTGGTCAGGCTGGTTTTGAACTCCTAACCTCAGATGATCCACCTGCCTCAGGCTCCCAAAGTTCTGGGATTACAGGCGTGATCCACAGCTCCCGGCCTGTCATTGTTTTCCAATGTTGTTTCCACTATTCTAGGTATTTTGCATTTCCATAGGAATTCTGTAATCCCCTTATCAATTTCGACAAAAAAACCTAGTCTTCTGGGATTTGATTTGGATTGCATTGAATTTACAGATCAATTTGGGGATAATTTACATCTTAACAAAATTCTAATATCTCCTCTATGAGGGAAGAACTATTACTATCACTCATTCTTGTTTCATAGAAGAACAAACTGAGGTAGAGAGATTAAGTAAGCTTGTCTTGCCGTCAACATACCTGGTTTATGGCAGAGCTGGGATTCAAACTCAGTGGCACTGCAGACCATGCTCTTAACTGAAAATACGGTCTTTTCTTTTCTTTTCTTTTTTTTTTTTTTTTGAGACAGAGTTTTGCTCTTGTTGCCTAGGTTAGAGTCCAATGGCGCAATCTCAGCTCACTGCAACCTCTGCCTCCTGGGTTCAAGCAATTCTGCTGCCTCAGCCTCCCGAGTAGCTGGGATTACAGGCATGTGCCACCGTACCCAGCTGATTTTTTATTTTTAGTAGAGACGGGATTTCTCCATGTTGGTCAGGCTGGTCTCAAACTCCTGACCTCGTGATTCATCCACCTTGGTCTCCCAAAGTGCTGGGATTACAGGCATGAGCCACCGCACCCAGCCGCTGTCTTGCCTTTATGGTACAAAATATAGGGGTAAAGCAGGCAGGTGAAGGGTCTGAGTTATAAGGTGAGTAAAAGATGTCATCTGTAGTAACAAATGAGAATTAGCTGAGTAAATAGTTACTAAATGTTCCTCATGAGCGAGATGTGATTCTACTTAGCGGCACTCACCATCTAACTGGGAAGAAGTCTGAGCCAAGGGGCTGGGGAACACAGAAGAGGGAAGAGTGATTTTTGCTAGGAAAGGGATGACAGTTACATAGCAATCAGGTAATGATTATTTCCTTTACTCTTCACAGAAGCCCTTTGAGGAACTCTTGAATCCTCTTTTATAGATAAGGTACCTAAAGTTCAAAGAGGTCAGAAATTTGTTTTACCTGCCCTGGTCTCAGATTCATGTCTCTGATTTTATCCTTGGGACTACTGCTTCAACCTGTGGACCTGAACAACTGGCACTGCAATGTAACCATTTCCCAGAGCCCCTCTTTCTAATGCCACCCCGGCCACTGGCCTCCCACTCCATATCTGATTGTCATGGACATCCATATCCATTCTCCTTTCCATGGTCTCCACGCACCCCTCCTTTTTCAAGCCTAATCTTATTACTCAGTCTCTGTATCTTTTCATCTTCAGTCTCTTGCATCATCAATGAGCTTCCCTCTTTCTCTTGTCTTTTACTAGCCTTCTTCTCTACCTTTAAGCACATTGAATCCTTTCAATCTAACCAGAATCCCACCTAGCGGAATAATATTCTCCAGAATCTTTCTTCTTTCCTCTTCATTCATGCTAACCAGATATTCCTAAAAATTCCACATCTAGGTTTTACTACTTCACTTGAGCAGTTTTACTTATTTGAAGAAATTTTAAGGCTAGAAAACACGAACAAGGTAATAAAAGGATGAATAAACTCAAAGAGCAAAAGAACAAACAGAATCATTTCCAGTACCCGAAGGAGGGAAGGTTTCTGGAGTGGTTGCTGTGGTGCTGGAATTTCCCTCGCAGGGTTCTGTTCTGGCATCCATGAACTGGTTATCTGGAAGCCACGTTCCATTTGCTGAAATTGTAGTGCCTATACAGTTTGTGCTTGCTGTTCTTGTGGTCCCATTGTCAGAGTCTGAAGAATTGACGGGTCCCAGAGTTATATTTCGGCTGAATGTTGGTGCCACAGAAAGAGAAGTTAGTGAAGAAGTTGGATTTGAAGTTTTGGCCTCTTCTTTAACTGGTTCTGCCATTGATGAGTTAATTCATCGTGTAATTCCTACAGAAGGTGCAACTACAAACACCAAAAAACAAGGAAATATCACATGAAGAATGTGAGGCTAAAAAGTTGTGAGACACTAAGCAGTAAGCCTTAATAAACTCTCAAACATGTGAAGACCAAGCAAAGACCAATCCCCCCAAGCACCCACCCATCCCCTGTGTTTTATCTAATGCTGGGCCCTTCCTACCTCCTCTAAAGGACTATGGTTTAAGGGAGAAAGACACAAGATTCTTCACTTAATTCCTCAGAAACCATATATAGAATTGTAAATGTCTACAGTTTATTTTACTTTTCAAGAAAGAACACATAATCTCTTTGATTTATTTAAAACAGTTACACGTATGAAAAACAATGCTGAGCATTCAATACAATTCCAAGATTTCTGAAGACACCTATTTTACCATCACTTTGAATAAAATTTTTATATTCCTTTCGACAAATACCATCTAGGTTTTCAAATTTGGCTTATTAAATGTGAAAGCAAAATTTCATTTCAAATAGCAGCCTTATCAAATGACAATTTACCTGTGGTAGCATTGTGGGCACTGATACGAATCAGATCACTGCCAAGCAGAACACGAATGAGCCAGGAATCCACACTTATCTGGAAAATAGGGAGCCATGTTAAGTGAGGTCCTATATTATCATGACTATGTCTGAGCTGGTCACCAGAAGAGTATTCTGGATTTCCAAGCTATTAAAATGTATGCCTAAACCAATAATCTTTTGGGAACCTGATACGCATGTTTCCCCAGACACCCAATAACTAACTGAGTCTTTATAAATGACTATCCCTTATCTGAAATGGTTGAGGACCAGAAGCGTTTCAGATTTTTAACCAAATTTTGGATTATACTCACTGGGTTGAGCATCCCTAATCCAAATTTCCTTTTTTCTTTCTTTTTTAAGAGACAGGGTCTTGCACTGTTGCCCAGGATGGAGTACAGTGGTATGATCATAGCTCAGTGCAGCCTCTACCTCCTGGACTCAAGGGATTCTTCTGCCTCAGCCTCCTGAGTAGCTGGGACTACAGGCATGTACCACAAAACCTGGCTAGTTTAAAGAAAATTTTGTAGAGATGGAATCTCACTATGTTGCCCAGGCTGCTCTCAAACTCTTGGGTTCAATTGATCCTCCTGCCTCAACCTCCCACAGTGCTATGATTATAGGTGTGGGCCACCATACCCAGTCCCTAATCCAAATTTCGAAATCCAAAATATCCTAATGAGCATTTCTTTTGAGCATCTTGTCTATGCTCAAAAAGTTTCAAATTTTGGATCATTTCAGATTTTCGGATTAGGGATAGCCAACCTGTAAAAATAAGTTTTAATAGTACTTATATATGTTTTTTGAGACAGAGTCTCGCACTGTCACCTGGGCTGGAGTGCAATGGCATGATCTTGGCTCACTGCAAGCTCGGCCTCCTGGGTTCAGGCGATTCTCCTGCCTCAGCCTCCCAAGTAGTTGGGATTACAGGCATGTGCCACCACACCCAGCTAATTTTTTTATTTTTAGTAGAAATGAGGTTTCTCCATGTTGTCAGGCTGGTCTCCAACTCTTGACCTCATGTGATCCGCCTACCCTGGCCTCCCAAAGTACTGGGATTATAGGCATGAGCCACTACGCCTGGCCGAAAAAACTTTTTTAAAAAAGGTTACGGGTGCTAGACTGCAGCTTTGTGGGTGAGAGCCAGGTAGCAGTCCCTTTTAAAGCTCCCAAGTTGATTGCTAGGTGCAACTTCACAGTTTTCTGAGTGAGAAATATGGAGAAGGTAGGCTGACTGCACTGATGTACTGCTGCCCTTCAAGGAAACCCATTATATAGCTGTTGTCAACCTTTATTCCACCTCAAACCATGTAAGATACTAGCACATTCCCACCGGTAATAGTGGTTTGTTCATCCATTCAGATTTTTATATCCCATACTGAGCTAGGTTCTAGAGAAACAACTGGGGAGCAATACACTCACGAGCCCCATCTTCATAGGACTCACAGTTTAAAGTGTTCAATATGGCAGTGACTCTCCAAGGGAAGTAGGACATAGATTTCTAAGGGACACATGAAAATCTCAGGGGTAGGGGGAAGAGAGGGAGATGTAGGTGGTAAATATAGACCCCAGGAGTTTGCCCCTGGTACCAGCAGCCATGTCTAGCAGGGAAATGGGTTCAGCAGTGGCCTTCTTCAGGTGCACCTACATAAGATTTTGACCATTTCCCCATTCTTCCTAGGCTGTGATCATGAAACCAGTGATATACTGTTAGACTTTCATAAAACTTAAATTTTTATAACTCTGTGGAAGATCTGGATAGTGAATCAACATTGATCTCTGGCAGAACCCAGCTCAATTACTACCTGAGCATAATCCAAAGTTGGAAACTCACACAATTTCCTTCACAAGGGTCAGCAAACATGTGGAAAGCTACTATATATGTATATATGTCTATTCTTGATAAATCAATAACAAACAGCTTTGGGAAAAATAACTACATATTTGAGGGGAGGGAGTTAGACCACCACCTTATTCCATATAACAAAATAAATTCCACACAGGTTTAAAAATAAAATGCTTGAGGGCCAGGCGTGGTGGCTCATGCCTGTAATCCCAGCACTTTGGGAAGACGAGGTGGGCAGATCACGAGGTCAGGAGATCGAGACCATCCTGGCTAACATGGTGAAAACCCGCCTCTACTAAAAAAAAAAAAAAAAAAAAAAAATTAGCCAGGGGTGGTGGCATGTGCCTGTAATCCCAGCTAATCGGGAGGCTGAAGCAGGAGAACCGCTTGATCCTGGAAGGCAGAGGTTGCAGTTAGCCAAGACTGTGCCACTGCACTCCAGCCTGGGTGATAGAGTGAGACTCTGTCTCAAAAAAAAAAAAAAAAAAACTTGAAAAACACATTTTGAAAGAAAATAAATGAATATATAGGCTCAGGATGAGGAAAAACTTTCTAAGCATAAAAAGAGATGTAAGAAATCATAAAGGTAGAAGTGGAATATCTGACAGCAGAAAAAACAAAAGCTCCTAAACATAAAGAAACCCATCATAAACAATGTTTATGGATAGGAAGACTCAATACTGTCAATATGTCAGTTTTTCCCAGATAAGCCTGTAGATTCAATGAGATCTCAATCATAATGTCAGCAAGTTATTTCATGAATATAAAAAGGCTGATTCTAAAGTTTACATGGAGAGACATTAAGACTCTGAAGGGCCAACTCAATACTGAAGAAGAGTCAAAGATTAATGCTATTGAACTTCAAGACCTACTTTAAAGCTATGGTAATGAAGACATTGTGGTATTAGCAAAAGAAAAGACAAATAGATCAATGGAACAGAACAGAGATCAGAAACAGACTCACATAAATATAGTCAACTGACAAAGGAGCAAAGGCAATAAAATGGAGCAAGATAGTCTTTTCAACAAATGATACTGGAACTGGACAGGTACATACAGAAAAATTAATCCATATCAGGCCTTATGCCTTTCACAAAAAGTAACTAAAAATGGATCATAGAACTAAATACCAATCACAAGACTATAAAATGCCAAGAAGAGTTATACAGGAGAAAATCCAGATGACTTTGGGTATGGTGAGAACTTTTTAGATATAACATCAAAGCCATGACCCATGAAACATAACTGATAGTTGACTTTATTAAAATACGTCTACACCATGAAAGACAATGCCGAGAGAATGAGAGGACAAGCCACAGACTAGGAGAAAATATTTGCAAAACATACATCTGAAAAAGGACAAAGAATTCTTAAACTCAACAAGAAAACTAACAACTCAATTAAAAATTGAGCAAAACACCTGAACAGACACCTCACCGAAGAAGATATACAGTACAGCAAATAAGCATCTGAAAAGACATAGAACATCAAGTCATTAGGGAATTGCAAATTAAAATGAGATATCCCTACACAAATATTAAAATGGATTTGGGTTTTAAAATCCAAAACATTTGACAACACTACATGTTTGTAAGAATATGGAGCAACAGGAACTCTCATTGCTGGTGGGAATGTAAAATGGTACATTCACTTTGGAAGGCAGCTTGGTAGTTTCTTATAAAAATAAATATACTCTTACCATATGATCCAGCAATTGTGCTCCTTGGTATTTACCCAAATGAGATGAAAACTTACGCTACTAAAAATCCTGCACGTGGATATTTCCAGCAGCTTTATTTATAATCACCGCAACTGGGAGCAATCAAGATGTCCTTCAGTAGGTGAATGGATAAATAAGTTATGGCACATCCAGACAATGAAATATTACTCACTGCTTAAAGGAAATAAGCTAAAAACATGAAAATACATAGAAGAAACTTAAACACATATTACCAAGCGAAAGAAGCCAATGTGAAAAATCGTGGTGACAGTAAAAGATCACTGGTTTAAAAAAAAAAAAAAAAGGCCAGATGCAGTGACTCATGCCTGTAATCCCAAACACCTTGAAGGGCCAAGGCAGGCAGATTGCTTGAGCTCAGGAGTTCAAGACTAGCCTGTGCAACATAGCAAGACGACATTTCTATAAAAAATACAAAAATTGGCCGGGCATGGTGGTGTGTGCGTGTAGTCCCAGCTACCTAGGAGGCTGAGATGGGAGGATCACTTGAGCCTGGGAGGTCGAGGATGCAGTGAGCAGTGATTGCACCGCTACACTCCAGCCTGGGTGACAGGGCAAGACCTTGTTTTTTTTTAAAAAAAAAAAAAAAAAAAAAAAAATCAGCGGTTGTGGGGTTAGGAAAAGGGAGGGAAGAATAAGTAGGTGGAACAGAGCACTGTCAGGACAGTCAAAGTCTTCTTTATGATACTACAATGGTAGACACATGTCATTATACATTTGTCCAAATCCACAGAATGTACAACACCAAAGTTTGGGTAATAAATGAGGATTCAATGTAGGTCCATCAATTGCAACAAAGGTACCACAGTGGTGTAGGATGTGGATAATGAGGAGGCTGTGCAGGTGTTGAAGACAGGGAGTATTTAGAAACTCTCTAAACTTTCTTTCTTTTTTTTTTTTTTTTTTTTTTTAGATGGAGTCTTGCTCTGTCGCCCAGACTGGAGTGCAGTGGTGCAATCTCAGCTCACTGCAAGCTTCGCCTCCCGGGTTCATGCCATTCTCCTGCCTCAGCCTCCTGAGTAGCTGGGACTACAGGTGCCCACCACCACGCCTGGCCAATTTTTTGTATTTTTAGTAGAGACGGGGTTTCACCGGGTTACCCAGAATGGTCTTGATCTCCTGACCTCGTGATCCACCCACTTTGGCCTCCCAAAGTGCTGGGATTAAAGGTTCTTTTTTTTTTTTTAAGCCAGAACTCGCTATACTTTCTGATCAATTTTGCTGTGAACCGGAAAGTCTCTAAAACATAAAGTCTATTTTAATTTTCATTTTCTATTTCTCCAAGAAAAAAAAGAGTCTATTTTAAAAAAGAAAACAAACTCTCATAAATAATTGAAACAAGAACTCATAACAATATTGAAGACATAAGAGCCCAATTTTGAAAAATTGAAGGACCTAAACAGATAATTTACAGACAAGGAAAACAAACAGCTAAGAAAGTAAATGAAAATGTGTTGACTGTCTCCACTAATCA